TATTTAATTTATAATTCCCAAGTCTCAATTAAAATTTAAAATTTATGCAAAATGTTATTAATGTAGATTTTTATGATGGAGGGCCTTAATGCTAACATCTCATCTTTTAAACTAGATGGCTCAAAATACACCAACACAAGAAATTTACATTAGAGCATTCCTAAATGTTTATATGATACACAATCTAGTCATATTACAGGTGCATACAAAGTTTCACAAAGGTATCTCAACCTGATCATAAGATGTGAACTATGCACAATTTTTAAAATGCAGCGATAACTAAAAAAGTACTTTTACAACAAACCCAACATATGTAAACAAAATGTTCCAACTGGATAGATAACTAAAACGTATCTGTCTGACAAAGTGCCAAGCCATAATAACCATGCTGACAAAGAAATATGATACATGTACATACACATACTTGGCAAGAAAGCAAAACTAACATTTTAGCTCTGTCCAAACTTTAACATGGAGCTTAATCCAAGTCATAAACAGAAGGCACAAATATACCAAAGGGATTGGGACACCAATTTTCTGCTAAGGCTGGTGCAATGATAATGATAAAGGAAATATTAACATTTGACAAAAATGAGATAAGAGTAAACATAATTTGTCAAATTGGGAGATAACTCAAAAGTATTATACTGACAAAGCCCACTATGTTCCTAACACACCACCTACTCTTAATTCATACGAAAATCAAGTCTTATAAAAATTGCAAACAGTTATACAGATAAATTACTAACATAACTTTTACAGATGGAAGAATAAACTCACTCCAGTATACCAACCTCAACCTAAATTTCCAGGGGTTCTAGATTTAAGTTTTTTTAACTACTTTTTGAATAAACTGTAAGGAGCAACTTCACTAAAACCAACATCCATCTTAAGAGGCTTTGGTGGCTGCTTAAGACAAGTTCTTCAACAGTATACTTTCTTATGTCTGACATGAACAGAGAGTTTAGGATTCCTAAAGACTAAGCAAATTTTCAAATTAAAAACCAGTAGACACTCTACAGTGACCTATATACAAAACTTAACAAGGATGGATGGAAGGATAGATAAACAGACATGGCAACACCACAGCCTTATTCTAGACATGATGTGGCGTAAAAATGTAAGAGTGTCAGCCTTTGCAATCTAGCATATCCATCACTGCTTTCCATATTAGGTACTAATCCAGATCTATGAAACAATCAGCATCTTCTTCATTATCTGACATCACTGAAATGGCATTTTCTGAATCAATCTTATTACATCACAAATGACATCATATAAGACAAGGACATAATTTTCAAGTCTGTAGGTTTTTCATGGCATTTAATGTCCTCTATTTACTTCATTATGCGATATATATATATATATATATATATATATATATATATATATATATATATATATATATATATATATATATATATATAGAGAGAGAGAGAGAGAGAGAGAGAGAGAGAGAGATGTGCAATATGAATGAAAATTGTTTTGTATTCATGATAGTATAATTTCTTTTAAAAGTATACAATGCATTTTCTATAATTTGCTTTGTCAACAATTTGTGTCAAATAATCAATGAGCTGTTTAATTATGTTGGATACATATGTTCAAGAAAGCTAGTAATGTATGTATATATGTATATGTGTGTGTGTGTGTATTAAATTGTCAATAAAAAGTACATTTAGATGCATGATAATCTCCATTAATGATAACTGCTTCTGATAATAATATTTGACAGAAATTGTATCCAACAATAAAACCACCAACAAATGTTGTTTTCATTAAGAGAGAGAAATACAAAAAATGAACTATGGTATCATATAACCAGAAACAAGAAGCACATGATAACCTTTTGCTGACTTATATTGTGTTCAATATAATTTTCAATTATACTGATAACAAGATATAGAATTTAGAATATACAAAAACAAGTAGTCTGACAGTAAATATTATATTACATTTAATTAAATGCAAATGAAAGAGGAATGAAGACAAAATAAATCTGATTATAAATTGAAAAGATAAGCTCTTGTTTACATTACCTAATGAAAAAGTCTTAAGAACCATCCTTCATTACTTAATGAATGCAAATAATCATGGACTAAATGATGATACTAAGAGAAGCATTTGTAAAAATGGCCTTAATGACCTCTCATTCTAGGCAAGAAAACAAAATGCCTGTAGGGCTGTACCAAACTGATCTGGCAGTTCTGTCTTTAACTGGACTATAAATCAGTGTCCTGTCACTTAAATATTAGGGAGAGATGAAAGGGTTTTTTGCATGATTGTTATGGATATGTTGGCTGATCACTACCCAAAAATACACCACCTATGCACATCACCTTACCTCCTGTATTTGATGTAATACATGTACTAGAAACAAATCATATGTGCACAGCACTTAATGTATTTGATGTGATGTACTGCATTCATACAAGATTACATGATATATGCCCATCTCCTTACCTAATGTATTGGAAGAATTGTACTGCAGCAATTGTACATAAATTTATCTACTGTATTTAATTATTGTAATGCATCCATATACCATAAATACATGATGTATGCATGCCATTTAGCATACTGTATTTAATGTGATGTAATGCATCCATATACCATAAATACATGATGTATGCATGCCATTTAGCCTACTGTATTTAATGTAATGTAATGCATCCATATACCATAAATACATGATGTATGCATGCCATTTAGCCTACTGTATTTAATGTAAAACTTGCATTGCATCCATATACCATAAATACATGATGTATGCATGCCACTTAGCCTACTGTATTTAATGTAATGTAATGCTTCCATATACCTGGAATACATGATGTATGCATGCCACTTAGCTAACAGTATTTAATGTAAAACTTGTATTGCATCCATATTCCAGGAATACATGATGTATGCATGCCACTTACCAACTGTATTTAATGTAAAACTTGTACTGCATCCATATACCATAAATACATGATGTATGCATGCCACTTAGCCTACTGTATTTAATGTAATGTAATGCATCCATATACCATAAATACATGATGTATGCATGCCATTTAGCCTACTGTATTTAATGTAATGTAATGCATCCATATACCATAAATACATGATGTATGCATGCCATTTAGCCTACTGTATTTAATGTAATTTAATGCATCCATATACCATAAATACCTGATGTGTGCATGCCACTTAGCTAACAGTATTTAATGTAAAACTTGTATTGCATCCATATACCATAAATACATGATGTATGCATACCACTTAGCATACTGTATTTAATGTAATGTAATGCATCCATATAACATAAATACATGATGTATGCATGCCACTTAGATTACTGTATTTAATGTAAAACTTGAACAGGAATCCATATACCATAAATACATGATGTATGCATGCCACTTAGCATACTGTATTTAATGTAAAACCTGTACTGCATCCATAGACCACAAATACATGATATATGCATGCCACTTAGCCTATTGTATTTAATGTAAAACTTGTAATGCATCCATATACCAAAAATACATGATGTATGCATGCCACTTAGCCTTCTGTATTTAATGTAATGTAATGCATCTATATACCTGGAATACATGATGTATGCATGCCACTTAGCCTACTGTATTTAAAGTAAAACTTGAACTGCATCGATATACCAGGAATACATGATGTATGCATGCCACTTAGCCCACTGTATTTAATGTAATTTAATGCACCATATATCAAGAACACATGATTAAATATCTGCAATGTGCACTTAATCTTTATACATTTCAGGAGGTCATTAAAGTTCAACATAATAAGTAGACAGCATTAAGTATATCAACACCATGTGCTTGTGGATACACACAAGATTTAGTGCATACACAAGATTTAGCTCCCGTTATCTTTGTTATTTACACTGTACTCAAAACATTCAATCTATCTTCCATTATGATTGCATCAAACAGAACACATGCTTAATCAATATTTCTCACAGATTTAGCCCAGAAAGTCAAGTGTTAACATTTTTCCAGGTATGATTTGTGGTAGGTTGTGAGAAAATATTTTTTCCAAGGTTAATCTGTTTTTGGGTCTGTGAAAATAATTATGCTCCATGAGTAAATTACCTGCTTCCCCTCCCCCTTTGCAATTATCAAAATACATAAGTTTACAAGTGTATGTCTGCACTATTATAGTTATGAAAAAAGAGCAGCATGCATTTTTTATTAAAGTGTAAATTTATTGCAATCAATATGGTAATTTTCAGGTGGAAAGGTTCAACTGAACATAAAAGTGAAAGTTAAAACTGTCAGGTCGCTTTAGTCTTCTATATTAAATTAACAATATCATGCATATAAACAAGTTTGATTTAACTGCAAATGATACTGTGAAATAGTCAGGTGTTAATACTATGTTCGGTCATCTGTCATTTCCAAAAATTGGGCATAAACATCACGGGTGCATTCTCCTTTCTGGTTGAACACAAACTTATAATAGCTGCCATCAGCACATATCACTGAAAATAAAAACAAAAGAGGAATCTGCAGTTATTCTTATTCATCAGCATCTTTTCTTGGATCTTCTGGAAGAATTAATATAAAAATACAATGAAAGATGCAACATTACTCACTAGCAAATAATCATATTACAAAGCAACTGAAAAATATTATTTCATGGAACATTATGCCTTCAATTTATCTTCCAAAAACTGGCCAACTTCATGTTTGAGAAACTTATGGAAAAACAGATTTGTAGATAATGTGTGTAAAATGTGATTTAGACTTTTTAATGTAGCTTCAACAATTTTTTTTAGACATATCACTACGATGTCTGCAGTGTGACAGTTTATAGTGATGTCTGGCACTGGGGCATTATACCACAGACATATATTATGATGCCCCACCCAGTCACAATATCCTGACACCAGGCCAACCAGTCCTAACACTAATCTCTTAATTCTGAGTGCCAAGCAAGGCAGCTATTAGTACCATTTTTTAAAGTCTTTGGTGTGACTCTGATGGGGTTCGAACCCATGACCTCCTACATCTGAGGTAAATGCTCTAACCACTAAGCCACTGGAGCAAATTTGCAGATAATGTAGTATCCTGTCTAATTCTCCAGATTGTTAATTTATGTGTTTATTCTTGATAACATTATTAATTGTAGGGTTGATAGTGTCCGACTCCATTACAACTCCAATGTTAATGCCCTGGTCATTTGCAAACAATAATCACTGCCACCTCAACCCCACTCGAAGATAAGGTAATTAAATTTTTTTAACCTTAAAGATGTAAATGCAACACTTTTACAAGTCAAAAAAGTTAAATTTTCTAACATATCCCATTGGTTGGGGAGCACTGGCTGTTGACCAAAGCACAAAAGGCAAGTAGCCTTAATGTGTACATGACATAACATAAAATCTTGGCTGCTAACATGGTAAACACATCCCTATCAATATCAATTCATGTTTGTATAATCATCAACATAAAGATTATGTAAGGCCAATGTAAGGGTAGAATGAACCCTAAAAGGATATATCATCATTATCAGTTTACATATGTTGTCATCACCAAAAAAATCAACATCATTCCTGTCACCATTCATAATAAAATCTAAATAAGCAAGGCTGCAGTGTAAGCATACCAATAACAGAGTTGCAGTCTGACCCAAAGGCACAGATACAATGAGCACCACCTGGGACTTGGAATTTGGAGAAACTCCACTTGGAACTGAAATACTTTGGTAGGAATCCTGTTCCTGCCAGGCTGTGAAAATGAAATTTAGGCATAATGTTAAAGTTCAGTTGACATAAAATTGATGGACAAAAGATTGACGCATCAAAATTAAGTTGCAGAATATGCACAGTAAATAATATTGAGTTCATATAGTAATCTCTCTCTCTCTCTCTCTCTCAAACACACACACACACAATGGTACTCTGATTACTGTAGGAATTTATATGAAAATTCTATAAAATTCTTAACTGCATCTGCAGGTGACTACTCATAAGTTAAAGTGTGAAAGTTCCTTTCCTGTATTAAAACTATGATTCACAGATTCTACCCAGTTATTTGTTGAGGTAAGATGCCTATGCACTAAACATTGTCCTTTGAACTCTTGTTTTGGATAACTAAAGAGAGCATTAAGGTCCAAGACATTACAAATTTTTAAAAGATTCCAGTTCAATCAATCCACATGTTTCCAATACTATAGACTGTTCAAATATGATGTTTAAAATAACTCCAAGAGTATGCTTATCTAAAAATTCAATACATCCTACTGTTTTAAGAGAAGAATAGGTGGAGTTGCTTGCCTTGTGATAAAAACTGTGTAATATGCAAATGGAAGATTCTGCTAGCTTGTGTAAGAAAGCTCCAACTGACAGTTTATTTAGTTGATAAAATAAAAATTATAAAAAAATCAAGTCTTTATAACATGAAAATGATAAAATTTTACTGGATAATCTGAGGAAATTCAAGGTATTCTAACAACCTTAGCACTGACATCATGTACTGAAAACAGGAGGCCCAAGACCAATGTTTAGAACTATGTTATCCTCAGTTGCAGTACAATTATCTGACATACACTTGTTTACTCAAAGTAACATTGACTTGAATTAAAGGTCAGAAAAAAAGATAGACTGAGAGATTTCAATAAATTATTCTGCCTTTCTTGGATGAATTCCGTTATAAATAAGTACTACATAAGCTGAACATGAAGGAGTAGGAATATTTACCTGGACTGTTTGTTCTTTTTAGGGTCTTCTGTGGAAAAAACATGGACTGTTCCATGATCACTTGATACACAAAGCATGGTGGAATCTTGACTAAAGCTTATACTGCAATGAAACATGACAACAATAGTCTAAGTAGTGGTAACTGACACAAGCAGGACAAACTTTTTACTTAAGAAATCCATGTTTTTACTGACAACCTAATCAAACCACTAGAAATAATATTTCTTGTGAATCATATCATTTAATGAAAAAAAAATTAGCTGGGAAAGATTTAAAAAAAAACATCACCTACTCAAAGAAAAGGCAACATAATATTGGCAAGTAAAAAGCCCTACATAAACTTAAGGATGTATCCAATGCACCATGGACAAATTTTGCATCCATAACTTTTTTGCTACACCTATTAAAGTACTTTCCTGTCTGACTCAACCATTATATTATGCCTGCATGATTTTCTCCTGGTAACCTAATTCAAACAACTACTGACTTTATATTGGTTTATACCACCAAATAATGTTGTGTCTAATAAAGCTATTGACAAATTCACCAATCTGCCACATAATATTTCACTTTTTTGCTCATCCACTAATTGGTGTACAGTTAAACAGGAGACACATGGAAAAGCATAAGTAATGCAAGAGTTGTAAAGTTTTACAGGGTGTGAGTGTGTGTTTGTGTGTGTCGTTTGAATTTTTAAGTTAGCTTTAACAATTTTTCAGTCATATCACTACAATGTCTTCAGTGTGGCAGTTTATAGTGATGTCTAGCACTGATGCATCATGCCACATACTTGTAGCATGATGTCCCACCCAGTCATACTATCCTGACACCAGGCTGACCAGTTCTAACACTAACCTGTTAAGGCTGAGCGCCCAGTGAGGCAGCTATTAGTACCATTTGTATAAGTCTTTGGAATGACTCATCAGGGGTTCAAACCTGCAATCACCCACATCTGAGGCTGATTCTCTAACCACTAGGGCACCAGAGGCATAAGTTTTACAAGAATATACCTACCAGTATATGTTAGCATGATTAGCTCCCCTTCTTAACTCGTGTAACTGCTGACCTGTACTGGAATCAAACACTCTAATCAAGGTGCCCTGCAATTACAAAAATGCCTTCTTCACAGAACTAATAGCAACTCAAAGAAAATGATAAATGAGCCTAATACTGTCCATCTGGTTGACATCTACCTAAGTCAAACTCATAAGAACAATTGGCCAAGAAAAATGTCTAAGCAGTATGTACAACATCTGCTGGTTAGTTATGAAAACAAAAGCAGGACAAACTTTTGACTTAAGAAATCCAAGGTTTTAAGGTTTCTCCAACTTTGTATCTTCATCCTGGTTTAAAACAGATCAGCATCCTATGGATAAAAACTGAAAGGACTGTATATCAAGATGCTTTTTTGTCAAACATGGTTAAATTCTCTTGTTCTTTAGGGGAGAGGGCACATTATTTTGGAGGAACAAAAAATATACTGTAGTTTCTTATATTTTCATTACTAAAGGCCATTTTAGATGACAGATTGGCAACATTTTTACAAGCTGTATTGCACTGAATGCCAGATTTGATTTTGGTGAGAATTTTTCTAAAATATTCTTTAAAAATGGCATGTGTACTAGCTGATCATCATCATTTTTTTAAAATTGAAAGGCATTCATACATGGATGCTTTCTTTCAAATTTTATCATTCTGTTTAGACTTTTTTGAGAACAATTCACTCAAAGGTTTTTCTTTTTTTTAGTAATGGAGGCTGAAGGTGGATTAATAACATCAGTATAAAAATGAACAGACTTCATTTCAAATGCATTTAAATATGATCCATTTCTCTTGAGTAGTTGTTGAAAAGTGATTCGATGGGGGGTATCTTCTGTCTCTAGTAATGCTGACCATACTTTATGGTGGATTAGAATCATTTTTGTAAAAATTCTGAAAGCTCTTTATGCTATGATGTTTTCTGCCAATTTGATCATATTCTAATATGTGCTTTTTTAAATGATGAGTCTTTTAAAGTTTATCTTCAGTTTTAGTAGCAGTGATCATGTTTGAAGGCAGATTAGCAGCATCTGTACAAACATGAAAGGCTTTCCTGCTAGGATGCTGTATGCCAGGTTAAAATTAGTTTAGTGTTTTTTTTTAAAGAAGCTGAAGATAGCAATTGCTGACAAGATGTCCGATGTAAAAAGGATTATAAAGTACAATAGATGTCAGACGATACCAAAAAAATTTAATACAAGCTATCTATATAGCAGAGAAGTATAAAATATGGAACAGCCATGATATACAAAGTATGGAGGTAAACTGCTCAAAAAGATTTTTCAGACATTTGTTCAGTTGATAATCACACAATATATGGTCTGGTCCAATCAGTCTTTTAATCATACAGCTTAAAGGGTGTGTGACCTGTGTGCCTCCACAGCTAATGGTCTTGACATGGAATCAAAGTTATATGACAGACTGATTCCCTGTCTCTAAATTCTAACAGATAAATGAAGGTTTTGCTGAAATTCTACAAATGAATTTTAAAAATATAAATCATGTCTAATTATCTAACATCAAAGTTTTTGTAGAGAAAAATTCCTCAAAAATAATCAGACTGCTTTGTTTAAGAAATTTAATCACAACATTTCAATCTGCAGAAACTGTTCCAGATATTTTTGATCTATATTTAATTGTGTGTGTGTGTGTGTGTGTGTGTGTGTGTGTGTGTGTGATTTTAATTTTTAATGTAGCTACAAAAATTTTTCAGTCATATCGCTATGATGTCTGCAGTGTGGCAATTTATAGTGTCTAGTACTGAAGCATCATGCCGCAGACATGTAGCATGATGACACATCAAGTCACCTTATTCTGACACCAGGCTGACCAGTTCTAACCACATAATGCTGATGGTCTAGTGTGGTGGCTGATAGTACCATTTTTTAAAGTCTTTTGTATGACTTTGTCGGGATATTTAATTGGCAAAGTAATTAACATGATATAATGGGTAAGGCAACTGAAATCCCAAAACCAACAATTTCCCCATTTCTCTCTCAAATAACTTTCAAAAATAAGCATGCAAAACAAGTAATTATTTTTAGCTGTGATTAGGTCATCATCTTTTGATCTCAAATGGCTAAATATCATTGAATAAAAGTGAAAAAAAAGAAAAAAAATAATGAGTAATAACCTTGATCCTAAGGTCAGCATTTCTGCCAAGATGTGTCAGACACCTTCTAGTAGCATTATATAAGTATACCAACTTTAAAATTGCATCCCTTAACTTCAAACAGCGTAAAAATTGTGAAAAGGAAAATGTGATGAACACAAATTCATAAGCAGTGGTCATGATCATAAAGACAAG